GAAATCCTCAAATTGAAGCAAATCAACTAGACTACGAGTTAATTAAAATTTGACAAATTATGTAAGTTTTTGACATAATTATAAGCCCTACTTTCAAGACATGAATGTCAATATAACCATAAATGATAGCATATTTTAGGTTTTGGGTAACGGATCTAAAATTAATTTAATAAATAATTTTACAAGATTAGGACCCAAGTGGAAGAGGTGGCATTTAGAGAGGGAGCAGTTGAGGCAAAGGAAATGGAGATTCAGGGGTGATAGGAACTTCTAATATATTTTTAAGAAATCAGAAGCGTAAATAAATCTCCCACATGGATATCACTTGTCAATACTTGTGCAATATCAATTTAAGCGGCATACACCTAAATTTTAACCAATTTGATGCAAAAAAATTTAAAAATTAACCACCCAAAAAAGCCTTAAGAAGATAAGATTAGGAACACATACTTTTGAAAAGTAAGCAATAATGAAATTAAACAAAGGTTTCAAATAATAACAAAGATTGGAAGAAGGGTACAAACTTAATCAATTCATCATAACAATAATTACAAAGACATCAAAAATGTGGTCAAAGGCTCGCCATAAATCTCCACAAGAACCACTAACAATAGTAACAGCAGAGGCATGGATCACTTGCAGTAGGGTCATCATATCCCTTTCAGTTATCTCTATCTCCCTCTTGATATTCTCTTATACCCTATCCCTATACCGATTCTCCCCCCATCCACATGTCCACTCAATCCATAAATTTCACCCATCTTATTTATATATGGATCTGTGTTTGAGAGAGAGAAATACAAATGAAAGATGGCAAGAATGTGATAACCAACAACTTTAAAATGTTTACGGCATGCATTTCACCATGGCCTATCACTAATACTTAAAGCAATTTCATTATTGCTTAACTTTTACTATGATAAATTAGAAATGTAAAGTGAAAGAGGTGGGGGATAAGATCTAATGGTCAACAGAAGCTCTTTTAACTATCACCATCTGAGATCCTCACTATTCTTAACCTAACTATTAATTGTTAGTTTTAAAAATCCTCATCCGTATCATTTATGTTAAGTGGTAAAAAAAATCATTAATTCTATCTTGCGTGAAATTGTTCCATACAAAATTGAGCAAGCTGCGTTTGATTTATAAATTTTTTTTTTTTTTACAACTTCACATCAATTTATCATACATCATATTTGTTAAACCTTATACACTACAAGGTAAATGTCCAAACAACCTTAACATATTTTTCAATATCTAATTTTCAAGAGATTTTACTCCCATCATCTTATCTGATCATAGTCAATCTCACTCTTATCGTTTTTTCTTTATCTTACTCCAACATTCATCTAATATTTCTAGGCGCATAGCTTAAATTGCCATACAATTCACTGTAAATAAATAAATCAATCAAAGCATATAGGGAAATTAGATAATATGATATATTCCTCATAATGATAGAAAAACCAATTACCGATAGAAGCCTCCATTCTATGGTTGATCTCTAAATTTCTTTGAGCGATGACAACAATGGAACCAATTTGAACAGGAACCATTATGTCACCCTTGGAAAAGCAACCAGTAACAGAAGGTCTTATGATCCGTAATGGATCATTTCCTAACTCTAAATATTTGAGAAACTCAAGGAAACAACCAACACAATGCCAATCAACTTCAAATTCAATCTAATCAATGTTGATATATCTCAAATTCAACTTGGTGAATGTCACTATACCCCAAATTCAAGTTAACTAGTGTTAAACAACTTCCAGCTCAATCAGGTCAACTATGGTAAGTCCACTCGACCCAATCGACTTTGGCCATGCCAATTCATCCCAACCAACTGTGGCCAATCCTAAGTTTGATTCATGTTGATCAAACCTCAACTCAACCGATCATTGCCAATCAACCTTATTTGATCTTGGTCAAAAAGAAGACCCCAATCAACTCCGATCATATGCTAACCAATTTGGTGTTGACTTTGTCACCATCAGACATGCCTCAAACACCTTGATTTGTGTACGCATAATATGGCCTGCATCAATCTCAAATGCGGCCATACCAAAAAGTCAGCATGGATACCAAAAACCACCCATATAGCGATTCAAACACCATTAAATAAAATCAAGCTCCAAATGATGATTGGGCCACTTGTAACTAGGCTCCTTCACATGCCAAAGGGAGTTTTTCAAGTCAGCAATGCAACAGCGCAGTATGGAGCTAGTCTAATGAGGGGATAACTAGCATTAACCCGAACAAAATCAATTCCCAAATATAATTTTCTTTATATTCATGTGGAAGATTAGAAAATGGTTAATGACAGAAACTTCTAAAGACATTCAAAAAGTGAGTCAAGGATAGAGCAACGGAGCCTAGCTCAATTCTCACCCTGTAGGTGACTTGGATCAAGGATGCTTATTTTCTACCTCATCTAGGTAATTGGGAAGATTATGAACTCAAATACAGTCATTTTACCTTCTTTTCCTCCCTCATATAACTTATTTTGTCTTGCTTGGTTGTATCCTATAAAATATCAAATCATCTCGAGATCTAAGTTCGGCTATGGTTTCAAGCCTTTCATAGCATGGTAGTAACCACATAACACAGTATCCTGACCTTGATTCCAGCAAGGAGTTCATTAGATATCCAACAAATCTGTAGATCCCTGGTTCAAACCAATCATATGCAACTTCCATGACATATTGGAAAGGCTCAAATCAACATGACCTCAAAGATGCCAAAAGCCCATAAGAAGTCACACATTTATCATGGTGTAATAGTGGAGTCCTGAATAAAACCTACATGCCCCACACTTCACACATGCTTCACCGCAATGCCCATGATTTGTTCATTAACTATAACACCCAATTTTTTATAATGTTATAGCACTATAGATTAGAAGAGTCATATCGAGCCAAGGAGCCGTATCCAGAGAAGTCGTATCGAGCAAAAGGACCTTTTAAGAAGAAGCAAAAAAGATCGAGAGAGACAACTGAAGGATCTCGGGCGTACATATGTGTGTGATATTCGAATGGCCTGAGAGAGAAGACGAGGACAAGTGAGCGAAACGAAGTCGCAAGAGCACTCTTATCCTAAATATCAAGCGAAGTTGAAAACCGCGATCTCCATCGACAAAGGCAATGTGCTCATCAGAGAAGAGATCAAACATACTTTGTGTTCAAAACGAACGCATGAGATGCTAGAAAGATGACACCGAGGAAGGAGCATGTCCAAGAGACATGAGCAGGAGCAACTTGCTGACTAACATATCTCAAAAAATAAATTGACTAATACATTTATATTGATTTATAGTATCTCTGAATAACATGCATACCGTTCTCTTTTTACAATGTTACTATGGTTTAGAAATTAGAGTATTCACTAGTTATGGTTAGTTTGTTATTAATTTAAACTAATATTTCATGTTTAATTAATTGATTAAGTGATGAACGATAGAATAAAAAATATTTATAGCTGACACGAACAACTAGAAATGAGATAAATTTAAATTTATTGTTTTAATTTACTTTTATTAGTAGCTCTTTTTATAGAAAATGAATATATATAATTTTCATATCCACCGTCCAACCATCTATACCCACTTTGGTTAACTCCAAACCCTGATTCAAGTCGTAACATTATCCACATTCAAATGCAAGTCCATGAATCCATCACTCAGTATATGATAGTAAGAGGCATGATAGTCGTAATATTATCCCACATATAATCTCATATTATTCTGTCCCCCCCCCCCCCCCCCCCGAGCCCACATAATTCTCTATGGGATTCACACGATGCACAATTATGATATCAAGGATTTGAGTCCACGACCTATGCTATAGCACCAAATTGATATAGAATCACTTAGCACACTAACTTTTAAAAAAGACTAGACTAATGAAGAAGACTCAACTTCAGTTTTATAGGATTCCAAGCTATGGAAGGTGCAAAATCAAGTTGAATTAGCCTGCTTAGGATTTAAATATAATCAGAAAAGCATAACAGAAAAAAAAGAAGAATGATACTTCATTATGGCTTCAATAAGAAAAACAAAACACCAGCATCACCAACTAAAGTTGAATGCCTCTAATTTTTAGTCCCACCATGTATAAAATTGACTTTCATAGCAAAAACCCACCTAGGATAATAAAACAGCAAACCAGTCAAATGCTCTTGAATATTGAAAAATTAAAAACAAAATATTTTCAAACATAAGAACCAATTTAGAATGGCAAATTATTGAATCTTAAAAGTGGAAAAATAGAAATGAAAATTGAGCAAAAAGGAAATCAGCCTAAACTTTTTCAAAATCATGCAAAAGAAATTGGGCAAAAGAGATTTGGCCACGATAGGCTTACACCATTCTAAAAATATTTTTAAATCAGACCAGTTGATTAGAAATGCTGATGCAAAGGGAACTCAAAAGGAATGAAATAATCCAAAGAGTACAGAACTCTATTAGCTTGATGTTTTTTCAACCTTGATAAGACTCGTCTTTCAAAACTCCATCAACAAAATATAGCATACAAAATTGGAAGGAAAAAAATAAAGTATTTCAAATGTAAATGTTGATTCACCTGTCCAAACACTAGCTCATTAAGATCACTCATTGAAGGTGTTCTCTCCACCAGACGAGCCTGCATTATGTATGTCACCAAAGAGTTGTTATCTCAATAAAAAAATTAAATGTAATGAAATAGTTACACGAAAGTAAGTATTGCTCCTACAATAATATTTATGTAGATTATTGCAGCTTATTATACTTTGGAAAGCTGAAGATAAACCACTCATCAGCAAATACCAAAAGGCAGAAGAACGATCACATAAACATGTGCGTGTGTGCAGTAACGAATATCGTTTTAAAGCATTAAAAAAAGTGACAAGAAAAACAATAGATTGAATATTTACTTGAAGAGATGCATCAATTGGAAATATTTAACACTATTATAGAAGGCCATAGACTAATTTCATGATAAAAATTTTCAAAAGTATAAACTACAGTGTAAAAAAAACAACAAACCTTGACACCTTCAGGAAAACAGAAGTCCGGTATATCACTTTCCCTCATTGCAACTCTCTTCACAGGAGGATACTTGAAAAGAACCTGCACAATAAACAGATCAAAATAGCCTTATATGAAACATCGCTAAACATATGAAGAGTAGATTTTCACATCAAATACTATATTACAGTCAAGCAATTTGCTCATAGTGATTCGCAGCTTTCTGTCAGTATTAAATATGATTGGAGCGACTAGCCTCATCCTAAGGAAGAATTGTACAATGTAATTTCATAAAAAAGTGTAGGTTCCCCAAGGGGAAGGACCCAACTTTCATAGATTAATCAAATACCCTAAGGCAGCTAATTAGGCAAACCAAACATATTACTGCCCAGTCGAAAAGATTTGAATTATGGGAGTCATGATGATGACAGTGACAACTAAAGTTGGAAACACCAATGTTGAAGAGTATTATGGAAAGTTATAATTTTAACCTTGAATAATAAAAAACTTGTATATCAGGAAATTTGATATAAGGCATCCTAATTAGAAGAGATCAAATTACAAGATAATTTCTATATTAAAGTTGTTCCTAATCTCGAGAATTGGGAGTGTGTATAAATACGTAATACATGTTTTCAATTGTGAATAAGAAAAAGAGGAAGTTTTCATCAAAATAGTATTATGTGGGTTTCTTCCGCAAACGAACGGGCACAGGATACCCCGCAATCATGTGACGGCAGGCGGTACCCGAGTCATGCAAGTGCGGCAGGGCCAAACACAATACTCTTCTTTTATTTTTCTTTCTAATTTCTAACAAGTTTCCTCTTTTCCTTCCTTCGTTTCTTGTCATTTCCTATATATGTGTTGTATTAGAGTTTAGAGAGAAAGTTTTTATGTGATTTATATCGGGAAAGCTGACAACGTCTCCTCTTCCCTTCAAGAGCTGTATCATAGGTTTCGGGTGGTGCTCCGGCTATATTTAATCTCCTGGTGGTGATTATCTTCACTATCCTTTTCCAAATCCTCCCCACATCACTCCCGGCCGCTCTCCATTATTGCATCTGCACAAGAACAGCAGTCATTGTTGTTTTTCACTGCAGTTTTCCAATTCCAACCACCAGCCCTCATTGCCTCCACCCCAGACAGCCATCAGTCCCCTACATTCCCCATTGCTATCACCGATATTTCCTCTTGCTGCAGTCGCCCGGAAACAGCCATTCTCAGCTATTTTCTGCTCTTCCAGCTGCCCACCCATCTGTTTCTCTCATTCCAACTTGTTGCCATTGTTGCAACTCCTCTCCTTCGCTGCAACCGTCATCCTCCCCTGCTGCTGCAACCCAGGACAGTCCTTTCCAGCCATTTCTCAGCTGTCCAGCTCCCTCTTTCTTGTTATCACCGCCCAGGACAGCAACCGCACTTGTTGTTCCTGTAGCTTCGCACCTCCCCCTTGTGGTTACAAACACACCTTTGTTGCCGCCACATCTTCCAGCCATTCACCCACTCTTTGCTACCTCTCCGGAGTACCAAACCATTGTCGATCACCCCACTTTGAGATCCAACTTAGTTTGAGTTTTGTTGTGTCCTGTTGGTTGCAATTTCTGCTTCTGAGACTGTATTTCCCTATTTTGAATTCAACAATAATATCTTTCTTTTCCGTTGTTGTTTGGGTAAACTTTGGCTTCATGTTATTAGAGAATTGTTGAATAGTTTGTCTTCGTCGGTCTTTTTCGATGTTAGCTTTCTTCTTTAGTTTCATTTAGGTTGTCTAGATCGCTAGACTTTGATATACACTGCTTAGCGTGGGAGGTGTATTTGGCTTCATCCGCATCAACCTGCACTTCGTCCTTGTCTTTGTCTTCTGTCGTCACCCAACGCCCATCTGCATTGCTCTACGTCGAGGGTATTTGGGCATTGATGAACATTCTGCACTTTGTGTTCATCTTCATCTTCTATTGCCACCCAGCACCCGTCAGCATTGCTCTGCGTTGAGGTAATTATGGCATTGACGAAGCCCTAACATGGTCTGAGCCAATCTATCAACTTCAATATGAGTCACCTGCTTAGTTTGATTTGGTCGGCTACTACTTTCCGCTACTCGCTCGGTTTCTTTTTCTCAGTCAATTTAGTTTTATTTTTATTTTTTCTCTCGGCAGTTGTTGGAGTGTTCATCCTCGAGTTATTTATCTCCCACTGTTTTGAATGCAACTTCGGCTCATCCTTCAGCACTGAATGGCATCATTTATGGATGGAGAGCAAGAAAATCTTGTGACACGTTTGGTTTCATCAGTGGCTACGATTACAGATGAAAAGTTAAATAGTATCAATCATTTTTACCATAACAAAACAGGGACAATCATCTAAGTATCTCTCAAGAGAGTCACCTCAATGATAATCCAGCAGTTAAAGTCGGATCCAGATTATTTTGAGTGGATGAGGGTTGATTCCCAACTTTTGATACAGATATGGGACTCCATCGAACCAGATCAATTTGTTCATATCATTCATTGTGACTGTTAAAAATGAGCTTTTGGAATTGGCATTTGTGTTTTCTAAAAGAAAAAATATTTCTCAAATTTTTTATATATGTTAGATTGAGCTTAGCAACAGGATCAATCGCCGAATCCTTATCGTATGCACTTTAAACGTATTTATGAAGAATTAAAAGTCTTATTTCCCTCCGAGATTTAATGTCGGATTCAACAATATCAAAGATAACAAATGGCTATTATGAATTTTCTAGTTTGCCTCAACTCTTAGTATGAAAGTATAAAATCACATAACTTATATAATCCTAGATGTACTACTCAGATGGAAGTCTGCACAAGAGTACTACGTACCATTCCGAGTCCCCATACCTCATCCGTACAATAACCTAGTGCTCTTGTTAGTCACTAAAATATTGACATCAGTAAACCTCAGTATCAGGAAACTAACAAAAATGAAACTCCAAATTCTGGAAATCAAGAGTCGAAGGTAGTGTACTATCATTATCATGGACTTGGTCATACGAAGATAACATATCAGAAGTTACAACAATAGAACTAGAAGGGTTATAAATCACAGTCAGCTCACATGATCACTATTAATGAGATCTCTCAGAGTTAGACTCTCTCGATCTCTGCATATGAATATGCTGAGTTCATCAAATATCAAGAAGCATCGAAGAAATTCCCTCTATCACTGCTTTTGTTGGTCAGGTAACAATGATACTTGTCATATTTCCTCTTTCACACAACAGGTCATTGATTATGGTGCTACAAATCACATGACAGGTAATCTGAAACTATTATCTATCTTTCATAAGCATATTTCTTCCGTCACTTTAGCAAATGGATCTACCTCTGATATTATTGGTTCTAACACCATCAATATTACACCCACATTACATCTAGCTTTTATTCTTTGTTTACCTTAATTTGTTTTCAATCTTGTTTCTATTAGCAAAATTCTGCATGCTCTAATTGTTGTATCTTCTTCTTTCCCCACTAATTGTTTGTTTTATAGTCTTATGACGAAGAGAATTATCAATAAAGAATGAAATTCAGGGTACTATACATTTTGGATAACGAGGCACCTTCACCTGTAGCCTGTTCCAACACCTTATATTTGTTTAAGATTCATTGTCGAATAGAACATCCATCCCTATGAATGCTAAAAAAGATGTAACCCCGGTTTCAATAATTATCATCTTTAGATTGTAAGCCGTGTCAATTTGCTAAACACCATCATTTGTATTTTATTCTCATAGTTAATAAACGAGTAAATCATAATTTTGAGTTGGTTCATTTCATTGTATGGGAATATTGTCATATTTTATTAAATGGATTTTGATATTTTGTTTCTTTTGTGAATGATTGTCTCATATAACTTGACTTAACTTAATCAAACCTCATACAGAGTTACCGCCATATTTTCAATCTTTTTTGTGATGAAACTAAAACTCAATTCAATGTTTCGGATAAGATTTTAAGAAGTGACAATGTCAAAGAATATTTTTCTGCAGTCTAAACTTTCAGACATATAAGACACAAAACGGGATGTTTCATCAGTCATCATGTATTGATACTTCAACCCAAAATAAAATAACTGCAAGGAAACATATACATTTTTTGAGACAGTTAGACATATTTTGTTTCAAATAAATGTGTCTAAACAATTATGGGTTTATGCAGTTTCTAGTGTATGTTTTTTTATCAATAAAACGCCTCCTATTGTTTCACGAACCAGACATATCAAGTTTTATTTACAACTAAGTCTCTCTTTCTTATTGAATTGTGCATATTTGGGTGTACTTGTTTTGTTCATGATACTCATCCATAAGTGTCTAAAATGGATCCAAAGTCATTAAGGTGAGTCTTTCTAGGATATTGTCATTTGGAAAAGGGTATTGGTTTGTGTTCAAAATGGATCGTGAATAACATATTCATGTTTGGCTAGAATTGAATTAATTTTTTCATTTGTGTCTCATGTTCAGCTCGAATTCAGCTCGAAAGATTTTTTTTAAGTAATAAATGTTAGCATTTTCTTAGCTACAATATAAAGGTTATAATAAGTATTACTTATTTAATTATTTAATTCCTTTGAGCCAAAATAAGACAAACAAGATCAAGCAAATGTTTGTTCAAGTTCAACTCTTTTCTCTTTATAAATCAAGCTCAAAATAATTATTTGCGTTCAGCCAACTTGCTTAACGACTGAATCAAGCACAAGCTACTTGGCGAGACGAACACAAATAATGAGCTTTTTTAACAGTCCTAACTATACAGTTGACAGCCACATCCACTTCATAGACAATGTATTCAATATACATTACTGCCAAGGTGATGTAGTGAATTCGCATAATAGCTTTTTCTTAAAGTTGATCTGTTTGTTTGTGGAATGTCCGAATGCCAAAGTTTCCAAACACATTCATATTTCTAGCTTTGGTTGCAAGAATTAATCCAATAAGGCGGACAACTTAAGATTGTGCTGGATAACCTTCGCTGGGCATTTTTTAATGTTGTTCATATCGTTAAACATAAAGGCAATCTATTTTAATATGCTTACAGAGAGGTCATTAAGTTACTTAATTTGTTATTTTCTCTTAGTGCATGAAAACTTTTAATTAATAAATTGACATCTTCTGCCATGGGTCTCTGAAGTTTCTAACTTGAAGCTCCATTGATACACCCTCAAATTTCTTTAATAAAATTGAAAAGTAGACCAAAAAAGGAAAAAAAATAATTTTTAGCCAGCTTAGAGCAACATTATTCTCACGGGCAATTAACCACCCTGAAATGTTATATTTTCATTAACAACATAGTGAATTTACCATGCAGCCTCTTAATAACTTTTTAATCAAATACTTAATTAAGAGAATAAAAACATTAACAAGGAAGTTAACTTAATTCATAATGAAATGATTGTCTATACTCAAAAAAGAGGTTGGTTCGGTCTCTATTGGTCATAAAGAAGGATAAATAGTGAGGACATCCAAAAGTACCATACATATGGTGATAATTGCTAAATATTTATGTGATAAAAAATCAATGCAGACTAGAGAACTCATTTAAACATTGTCAAAAAATTGTGTCCCATCGCCTCACCTTTTTTAACAATAAATAAACTAACCTGAGGTTCAAGAGCAGGGATTTGTCCATTGTACTGAAGCTTCCTAAGATCTAAAACATCAGACTTTGCTGCTTCAGATTCCCAGGCCTTTCTTTTAGAGAACGCACGCTCAAGAACTTCAACATTTGCATGTGAGTGGAGCCCCACAATAAAGAATTGTTCAAAAAGTGAGGTTGGCTCCCAATGTTGCTTAATATCCTGCACATTAACAGCTCAGTTAGCCATTAAAAAAAATGGGGCATATGCATACCGCCCAACCCCTACGTATTTACATATCTAACACCAAAACTTTACTTTTTATATTAACTTTTAAAAATTGAAATGTACCTTTTCATGCATAGGTAAGATGGGTTGTATGTAAAATTTGAAGTTTAGATGTTACAAATGTAAATAGATAGGAACAGAGCAGTATGCATGTAAATCTTCCAAAAACAACTTGAGGGGAAATATAGAAGTCATTATTCAAACAAAGCACAATGGCAATCTTGCCAATAATTCATTTGAAACAAACATATGGATATGGTTGTTGGAGATTGAATTACTGGGAGTAATAAAATTCCTGTGAAAAGTTATCACAGACCATTTGCCAAAATTCTCTATATCAAACCATAATAACTAAATGTTCATATGCGTTTAAGCATATCAAATATATCAAAAGTATTATCATGAACTACTGAAATAGCAATCTAAAAAACGAATTTCTCTCTACCAAGATTGAAAATTTCTTCTAAATGGTAGAGACCAAGGCTTGGAAATTAGGTTAAGATATAGGCCAAATCAAGCTATTTACTTTGCTTAGCAGAGGCTGCAATCAGGAAACCATTTTCAGATAAGACTGGGGCTTCATCAATGTTTAAATCAATGAATCTAAAGAACAAATTCTGAGTTCCACAAACAATATCAAAAAGATTTCAAACCAATAATTTCCAGATTATCAAAAAAGCATCAATACTTCACACCCCATTGTAAAATCATACTCTTCTTCTAAATTCCATATTCAATTCACCAAATCACCGTGTTCATAGCATTTTCCTCTCCAAGGAATTGGCACTTAATTCTCATTTCAACAATGCCATCAACTCCCAAGGCATCCATTCCGGTACAAAAAGCAAAACAGCAAAAAAGTAGACAACCTTACCCGATTTTTCGATTGCGTTCGGTACCAAAGCCTCTTCTGTTTCGCCATAATCTCCAGATTCAGCGTCGCCATCAAACTTTGCTCCCTATTCCCGGCAGACACGGCGCCCCCGGCTGGCCCCCATCGCCATACCCGCTGCATCTGTCGCTTCCATTGCTGGAGGCTACCGCTCGGAAAATGCCCTACTTGCCCCCCGCTCGCAAGCGGAGACGAACAACGTGACGTCGTCGCTGATGACGTTGCGTCCAACACCGCAGCAGAACCACCCATGTCATCCGACGAACCCCCGGGCGTCCCAACCCCTTCCAACCCGTTCTCCGGCGAAGCAGACGTTGACGTCGGCGACTCCTGCCCCTCGTCGGGGTTATCCGGCGAAGCTGCTCCTGTCATTCTAAACTCTTCAACTCCCATCCAGGCACTGCATGCAGAGTATTCAAGCAGAAGTGTAAAGAACAATGATATGCAATCCTCCGACCCTATAAACGCGGAAGAAAATCAAATTTTTTAAGAAAATCACTCCGAAGGAATCTCTCAATCCCCTTTTTCTGATTCGGTGAAATAAGCGAGGTGGGCAGATCGCCAGAGCCGGAAAGGGGAGGGGGTAACCAATCGGTGAGCAGGCGAGTCGAGATCGGACAATATAAACAATTTGCCGGTGAGCGAATCTTAAAGGCGAGCGCTGGGGAGTCGCGGCCACGCACGTGGCTTCGTGCGTCTTTTACCGGAAATTCTGGCGCAGGATGTTACCCTAGTAGTTATTTTCCCGCAAACGTAAGGACATTCGGGAAGTTTTGACTTGTTGACGAAACCATTACGCACCCGTCAAGCACGGTTTATAATTTATTAATCTCTTTTAATTATATTTTAATGTAAAATAAATATTTTATTAGAATCTTTAAAATATATTTAGAAGATGAAGTACATCAAAGAAGTTTGATTGGGTTTGATTTGGACTAGGTTGGGTCAACCAAAACTAGAGCCAACCTAATTATTGCATTTAATTAATTATCTTAGGAACAAAAATAAAGAAAAGAAAATACATTAAATGAAAAAAATAATTTTAAAAACTTACAAGTGAAGACCATGGAAACATAGAGGAAGGAGCGGGGAGAGGACTGGAGAATCACTAAAGAGAAGGGAGGAAATGGAGAGAAATGCTTGGACTGGGGGAAAGGGGTTATTTATAAATGTCTGGAGGAAAAAGTCAGCTGTCAGCTCACTGTGTGGTCACACCACAGAGGAACGGGATTGGCGTGTTCACGCCACTTTGTGACGTGGCCACACCCAAAAACTAGCCTTGGTGTAACCATCCCCAATGATGGCATGGTTACGCGCGGCCAAGGTATGGGCTTTAGGCTTTTCTTGATTAGTGCAAGCTCGGAAATTTACAAGCATGGAATATCATCCATGGAGGGACAAGTGAATGTTTTAGTCAAAAAGTGGTGTCCAAGTCGAGGAAATCCATGTCAAAGCATGGGTCCCACCCCACTAGAGAGAATTTAAACTTCATATTGTTGTGGTATATAGAAAAATAGAAGAACGAACTTTGACGAAGAGAAAAATTAGATCAAGAAAATTTGCACCTGGAAAAAAGTAACACAGCGTAACACAGATTTACGTGGTTCGGTAAATTGTCTACGTCCACGGAGTTGCAGAGAATTTTACTACTTGAGGAATTTACACTAGTCGATCGTCTCGACTTATAAGAGGGATCTCTCACTTCCTTGCTCTCTCTTCTTCTCTCCCTACACCGAGATACACCAAAGCAGATAAATTTACAAGAGAAATTAACTCAATGTATCTTATGTCACAAACCACCAAGAAGAAGCCAAGGGAGAATAATCTTCTTCTTCTTTTTCCTTCTACCGCAGAACTACTGTTTGCACTTCTCTTCCTCTATCCCGAGGAAGTCCGGAGAAGAACACAAAAAGACCGTGCTAAATCTAAAAGAGAGTCGTGTGATTCCTTCCTTCCTCTTTCTTCTTCTTCTTCTTTCTTCTTCCTTCTTCCTTCTTCCTTTGGCTGCAAGGAACTATTGCTTGCACTTCTCTTCCTCTATTCCGAGGAAGTCCAAAGAAGAACACGAAAAGGTCGTGCTAAATCCAAAAGAGAGTCGTGCGATATCTTTTTCTCGTTCGAACCACGTGCACCACCTGAAACTGATGTATGTTCACGACTTATAAAGAGCGAGGTGATGCTTCACTTCGCGAAACAAGGAAGGCGGGAACGGGTGTATGCGAGAACAGTTCGCGACAGCAGGGAGCGGGAATGGATCGCGATGTTTCGCGACAGAGGAGTTGGAGAGGGAGCGAGGTCGCAAATCGGGCTCCATCCTTAACTAGGGGTCTAAACGAGTCGAATACGAGTGAGCCCAAACTCAGCTCGTGTTCATCTCGTTTATATTTCAAGCTCAAAAAGTGTGTTCGTGTTCAGCTCGTTTGCTTAACGAGCCCAACACGAGCTGTTCACGAACAAAGAGTTATTTTGGCAACCCTAATCACGTAGCCATAATATGTTAAGGGTTGGAACAAATTTAAAGATTATTGTTTATATTAAAGCATCATTTGAATCTAATTTAATACTTTTTATTCTATTTTCTTGATTAATTCTTTTAATTGATTATAAATATTGTAGCCTTGTAGTGAATTATATTTTTTTTAAATACTACTCATCAATTATATATATATATATATATATATAATTGACGAGTAGTAATTCGAACCAAAACGAGACGAACACGAACGAACAATTTTTTGTTCGTGTTGTTCATGTTCGGCTCGTTAACAAAATTAACGAGCTAAACACAAGTTTCTTAACGAGTCGAACACGAGCTGTTCGCAAACAATTCTTAACAAATCTCTCACTTAAAGACCAATACACAGGCAGCAACATATTCTTCCTCAAACTGATATCCTTCACCTCTGTAACTCAAAGCCTCTATCTTCTCACCAGAAGACCAACTGAAGTTGTGCACAACTTCAGTTGGTCTTCTGGTGAGAAGATAGAGGCTTTGAGTTACAGAGGTGAAGGATATCAGTTTGAGGATGCACCTCCAAGCTATTTCCTGGGTTACTCTTGTCTCTGCTTACAACTTCCACTACATGGGCAATAACTTGTTGCTGAAAGCCACTTTTAGCAAGTCTAGTCTTGTACCTCTTACTGCCATCAAGCTAAGTCTTCACCTGGTACACCCACTTGTTGTGTAATATATTCTTTCATGGTGAAAGTTCTATTAGCTCCCACTTGCTCGAACTTTCATCTTGCAAGATTTTTTCATAGCTTTATGGTTCTCTACCATCTATCTGTAGAATAATAAGAATGGTGCCCCAGATCAACTCTCCTCTTCATTTCTATCATCAACAGAACTATGAACTGCCAACAATAGTGCATCATGTGTTTTTTTTAAATATCACATTTTGCGTTGTCATTCTCCATATTCTTGGGATTCCTGCAGTTCCTCATTATGTGGCCAACCTTGCCACAATTTCATCAGGTTGTCTGCTGACCAGACTTTGATTTTGATCACCCTCTGAAATCAACATTCAGTGTCAAACTTGACCCTGAGATCTCGCCAGAATCTTTCCTGCGCACCTCCTCAGTCAAAATCAAATCACGAATATCATCACATTTCAGTTTAGATTTACAGAACTGCTAACTGTCATTCTCATGGCTTCCTAACTATTTGACAATGAAGTCAACAAGATTAGGGGCACTTATCTCATCATCAAAATTAATTTCAACATACGACAATTGATTTGTGATGGTATTGAAATCATTCAGGTATTGAGCAACAGAAAAACCTTTCGCTATCTTCAAGTTGAATAATTTCTTCATCAAGTACACCTTATTTTTCGCTGATAGCTTTTCATACACACCTGATAAGGCTGTCATGAGGTCTACAATCGTTCTTTCTTTGACGACATTGTGTGCAACAGACCTCGATAGGGTCAATCCAATATCCCCTAGAACGTGTCGATCCAACAAATTCCATTCAGCCTCATCCATTCTATCAAGTTTTTTCTCCAATAAAAGAAGATGAAGTTTCTTCCCATAAAGTTAGTCATTTATCTGCATTCTCCAATAACCAAAATCTGTGGCATCAAATTTGCATCAAATTTCTCGATCCCTTCTCGATCCCTGAAACCCTCACTTCATCTGCAGTCATCATTCTTCCTCGGATCCAAACAAAACTCTGATACCAGTTGTTGTAGTATATAGAAAAATAGAAGAACAATCTTTGACGAAGCAAAAAAAAAGAACGAGAAAATCCGCATCAGAAACCAGTAACACAGTAGAACACACAAATTTATGTGGTTCGACAAATTGCCTACATCCATGGAGTTACACCATGGAGTTACAGAGGATTTAGAATTTTATTACTTGAGGAATTTACACCAATCGATCGTTTGGACTTACAAGAGGGATCTCTTACTTCCTTGCTCTCTCTTCTTCTCTCTCTACACCACTGAAGAAGATAAACTTACAAGAGAAATAAACCCAATTTTTCTTCTGTCACAAGCCATCTAGAAGAAGCCAAGAGAAAACAATCTTCTTCTTCTTCTTCTTCTTCCTTCTGCCGTAAGGAACTACTGCTTGCACTTCTCTTCCTCTATCCCGAGGAAGCCCGAAGAAGAACATACAAGAAGGTCATCCTAAATCTAAAAGAGAGTCGTGTGATTCCTTCCTTCCTCTTTCTTCTTTTTCTTCTTTCTTCTTCATTCTTCCGCAAGGAACTACTGCTTGCACTTCTCTTCCTCTATCCCGAGGAAGCCCAAAGAATAACACAAAAAGGTCGTGCTAAATCAAAAGGAGAGCCGTGCGATATCTTCTTCTCGTTCGAACCACGCGCACCACCCGGAATTGCTGCTTGTTCGTAGCTTATAATGAGCGAATGGATGCTTCGCTTTGCAAAACAGGGAAGGCGAAAACGAGCGTATGTGGGAACGAGAACGATTCGCAATGTTTCACAATAGAGGAGCGGGAGCGAGGTCGCGAATCAGGCTCCATCCTTAACACATATGAGATTCAAATTAGTAAATCTTCATGTTCACAACTCAATTTGCTTATATTTTGAGTTTGAAATTGGTTTGAGCTCATTTGAGGATAAAATCATACTTCTCATTCAAATTGTCGTAGTATAAACGAGCCTCAAAACAAAGTCTGATTTTGGTGTGGATTCACTCATTTGAAAATTTTCAAAGAACCAAACGCATTTGTAAAGTCTGTTTCACAAAACGATGCACAGTTGATTGAGAGTTGATGAAACTTATTTCATGTTATTCGTATGTTTATAATGAACCAGTTGTGGCTCATGGCATAAATTTCCAAGCACTACAATGATATGTAGAGAAAATGTTAATTTCATAGCATAAATATGATAATTTCATAATATTCCCTCATCGAATTGCTTTTTGGTCAAACTTTAGGATTTGATTGAAATTTGATTACATTTTAATTCTATTTTGAGTGTTTCATTTCAAGTTTATTTTAAATATTCAAGGTAAATGATAATTTGGCAAAAAGTGAGGTCAACAATATATTTGACATAGATAGACACCTCTAATTTTCCTCTCTCTAACTAATAAATAGGTGGTACATATTCTAATTTTCGTGTTGATTAAATGATGGAATGAATCTGAAAAATCTTAACAAACTGCATCTCGTATTCCCGACAGATATTTGTTCCTTGTTTCAGCTTCCTTAAGTCAATCATGAGCTTGGCTCGATCCACTTTAAGAAAATATTGCTCT